CACTGTTGAATATAGAGTCCAAGTCACTCATCAGTGCAGCAATCATCACAGCCATCATAAGTCCCCGCAGACCAACCGGTACGAGTTTCATCACCAAACGTGGGTAGGCAATGTTAGAGCATCCAGCTCTGCTTCCGCAGACTTGAAAACAGTGTTCTGGATTAATACAGGCGATATCATCTGCAAACAGTATTCGTGAAATCATCCCTGGAACAACTATAATAAACATTGGCAGTAACTTTAAGAAGCCTGCCATCAGAGTGGATCCTTTGGCATGAGCAATGTTTTTTGCTGCTAAAACTCTCTGCACTATGACTTGATCAGCACACCAGTACCAGACAGAAGCTGGAGTCTGTCCCAACAGAAATCCAGGCCAGGGAATATCTTCATCTGTTGGCTCGCGCAACATTTTAAGAGCATCAGGCTTTGGGTCGACATTGCAGGAATTGGTATTAGAAATGTTGTAGGTTAACAAGATAGACGTAATATTTGGTGATGCTAACATGTACCTTTTTTTAACTTCTTCAAACCCACCAACCTTCGTAATACTTATGATCATAAGTGTGAGGGCACCAATAATCATAAGCAGAGCTTGAAGCGTGTCTGTGTAGATGACAGCCACAAGACCTCCGGTCACAGTCAACAGTGCAGTCATTCCAATAAGGAGGATAACTGACAAATAGAGGTTCCAACCTAGAGATTCTTGAATAAAAAGCGCCCCTGAATACAAGTCAACTGAAAGTTTGGTGAAGATATAAAGAAGCAGAGACAATGCTGCAAAATATATTTGAATTCTATGCCCTCCAAAACGCTTGGACAAGTATTCAGGCATGGTGTACACTCCTGACCGGATGTAGACAGGGACGAAGACCCATCCTAAAAGCTGCAAAAGCATTAAGGCGTTGAATTCCCATGCACCTACTGCAAATCCACTTGCTGCTCCAGATCCTGCGAGCCCAATGAAATGTTCACTTCCGATATTGCTCACAAATAAAGATGCACCAATAGCTACCCAGGTCATAGAACGCCCTGCCAAGAAGTAGCCACTTACGGTGCTTCGATTGTATTTCCACATGGCAAAAAAACCTATGCACATTACAAGCACGAAGTACAGCGCCACAATGGCAATGTCTGCTGTTTCCAAAGAAGCCCTCATGATTGTAAACAAAATGACTTCGCACAGCTGATGTCCAGTTCTCGCCCCCCAGCAAACGTCTTTTAAGCAACACGTGAACCAGTTAACATTTATCAACACTGCGGATCAAATTCTTTGTCCCTTGGTTTGCTGTCCTGATGCTGGTGGTTGTGGTACATTTACTTTCTCCGCTTCTCAAATGGAAATTTGGAACTTAGCACGCACTTTTAATCCACATTCCACAAGAGCATCAGCCTTAACTCAGTTGATGTAGGAGAAATTCTTAGTTGCAGCTAAGTTTAGTGAGGCCTACTGTACCAACCCTGCAAGGCAGCAAAGACAAAAGACAAAGATTGAATTAGAGAAGAATTTCACGAAGTAATGAGAAAAAATTTGAAGTCTAGTAAAACAATGACTGAACACCACAGACTTTTCCCCTTATATTTCCTGCTATATTTATGCAATCCACAATATACATAATCAAATATTCATAAAACTAAGTAGTAATGCCTTTTATAAGTCAACTTTAATGTCGTATACAAGTATCTTAAGGGACGCAGCAATTCTAAGAGTTTTAAGTGACCCAAATTCCCCAGAACAAGGCAAGAAACAGAAATGCATTTTAGCAGTCTTTACTTTTGGCTTTGCAGGATTCAAGTCTACTTCTCAAGCTACTAAAAAGGCCTTCCTCATTCAAGCAACCATAGGAAAAAACACACTAAGGAACATTAACCCGGCTAGTCATTTCCTGATTTGCTCAAGCACTGCACCCCACAAATCTTGATAGATTCTGATGTCATACACACGCCACTTGAGACACCAGCTGGCTGCTATCACTAAAAAAAATTAAAATAAAGTCATAATGCTGTCAAGAAACAACGCAAGTTTATGACCAACCGGAGAATAAAGATTATCCTGCAGGTTTTAGACAAGTCTGCACCTGTCTGAGTTAGAGATTATCACAGGGTTACATTTTACTCTGAAAGTTCTTCATACATATTCTGAGAAAAGAAACAGTCCCATTCATGCCAAATGACAAAAGCAAAGTTATGCCCGACATCTGGCTCGAGGGTACTTCTGTCTGCACTCGCTTGGCTTCACGATTCTTCAGGAGTACTGTAGGGGCACCAGCAGGAAGAATCATTTGGATTTTGGCAGCTGTCAGTTGCTAGGAGGCCAGGAAGCGCGCTATTTGCAGCATCATCCATTCAGACCCAAGCATGAAGAGGATCACGTCAACATCAGAAGGTTTTGAGGCAAAGCAGACCCTGCTGTTCTCCTGAACCCCTGTAGATCCTTCGCAGTTCTACCAATGCATTTCAGAAACATATGCGCTCATTTAAATAAGCAGGATTGAAGTGACTGAAGTGGAGGGAAGGGGATCGTGAAAAGATTCACTGGCAGACCAGCCAGCCAGGTGGGAATGGCAGAGGTACTACAGAGCGGCACAACGGCTCCTATCCCCGTTATTTCTGCCTTGGAAAATATCACTCATTTACATCCACTCAAAACTATTGAATAAGCTTAGAGAGTGTTGGGCATAAGATTCTTCTACTTCCTACACCACATAGGCACAGCAAAGGAAGAGATGTCCAAAGCAAAGAATGAGCTTAGTCTAAAGATCAGAACGCTAATCTTTAGCATTTCAGATTATTACAAAGGAGTAAGGAACAGGGTTTGATTCCATTCCCCTTTCCCCACCTTCTGGCAAAACTAACGTAAGCAAAAAAAAACACTGGAATCTTGTTCTGCCCGTAAGGTCTATTACAAGTGCTACCGGCATCAGTTTTAAGCACTCCCCTTCCATTCCACCTGTGGAAGCACTCCAGCACTCTGCTGCAGTGCACGTTTCCCTATTCATTCATCTATGATCAATACAACCACCTAGATAACATACGTTAGTATTTGGGTGTTTCCTGCTTGGCATCCTTGCAGGAAGTTTTATTTTGTTTAAGAAAAAAGGTAAACAAAAATATTACAGCTTCTCAGACGGCCCATAATAAACTAGAGCTAAGGTTGAAAACGCGCACACAGATACTCCCTGCTTTACTTTATGCCTTACTGAAGGTTGCAAAGGTGCTGATGTGAGAATGTGTGCTTCTCATTAAGGCAGATATATTTTTAAAAAGGCTTACAGCAAACCGCAACTTCAGCCTTAAGGAGAAACGCACAATCATGTTATTTGTACGAGCTGGCTGTTTTTCAGGAGTAGTTCAGAATCAGAAAAAGATAATAAGGGTTCCCCACGATCACCACAAACCCACATGAGAATATAGATATTCATTCTGCTGGAGTTATAGCCAATAATGACAGGATACAGAGGCATGGCACAAAATGGACTGATTACAGTAGTGTGCTAAATTTATCATACTCATAAGCCTCAAACCACAGATGTATTTTAAATTCTTCCATAAAAGAATTCACATTTATTCCCACCCGCAAAAGGCAGCAGAAGTTAAACGGTCTATTCCACGGTTTAGTTTAATCCAACAAAACATTATAAGCACTTCAGATTGTGTGATGCCATCAGTTACAAGTAATGCACTTTTCTTAGTTGTAAGTGCTTTTGTATAATGCTTTAATAGTATTGCTTCTTTTACTACATTCCACTAAGATTTGAAATGCAACTACGTTATAATGTATATACCAAAAACATAAATATTTTAAGGGAAACGGAGGAAGAAATTTTACTGAGACATAGTGGAAAAGAAAAAAAAAATACCATACAGAAAATCAGAATAACAGGCAAGCTAAAAAATTTGTAAAAGCGTCTGTATTCTGCCTCTTCCGTTGTCCTGTTCTGTTACGGACATATTCTGGACTTAAACTTAAGTTCATTTCCAAACATTTTCCTTCCAGGTCAATCAACGACCTTGCAAAACTATGCTATAAAATAATCTAATCTAGTATTTGATGACACTATGTCTATTTGATACAAGAGGTACCTAGCGCATAGTATGAATATTACAAGTACATTCAATCCCTCTGAAAAGCATGCAAGTGGAAGATGCAGCTGCCAACGAATAAATTGTGACATTTCTCAATTAGGACACTTTGCCAACAACTATGGGCTCATCTTAACCAAAATAAACAATACAGGAAGAACTTGAGCATTTTCCACTAGAAGGTACAGCCAAACCATGTATTTTAAATAAGCATTTGTATAGAGTCCTGAACCATCACCTTTGTAATCAACATCCAAAATTTGCAGTGTTCAGCTTGCTTAAGCAGGAAGGTGGAAAGTTTTCAGTAGCTCCTATAAATTTGCTGCACTGTCACTAAATTACTGTACTGAAGTGGCCTCTTGTACCAGTTTCTTATTAGACCTAATTCTAAAATAATCCTAGAACTTTTTTCATTACTAAAATGAGACTCGTCCCTCTGAACTTTCAGCAAGTTACGACCTCAAGTCTTAAGAAGGACTTTTGAGACACCCGATGCGAGTTTAATCTCAAGTTATTAGAACTGCATACGTTATGGCACTGACAGAAAAAAAGACAGAAAGACAGCACTGCTGCCAAGGACTGTGAATTTTTTTCCCTAAAGCTGTTTTTCTGGCTGGATCATATCAAAGACACAAGACAATATTTTTCCCTCTTGTCTGAAGACAGAAAGCTACAACTCTGGTGAAACAACGCATATGTCTCTCCAGCAGACAGCTTGTCCTTTAAGAAAAGAAAAGCCTCAAGGAATTCCCTGAAGAGAGATTAGATTTATGTGAAGCAGATTTAGGGTGGGACTTTTAGGAGGAATTTATACGATTGTTTTAAAGGGAAACTTTCTCCACAGTCTTTTTCTAATAACAGGAACCTTTAAATATGCCAGAATCGAACTCCTCCAGCCCTAAAGCACTTACGATGCTGCTTAAAATTTGGATTCTACTTAGCCTAGTTCTCTTTCTTGCAAATGGAAAGCTTCCCAGTTTACTTCCCTTTTCTCTTACGGTTTAGAGTTGTAAAGAAACACCAGTAGCTCATTAACAGTAGCAGACCAGCCCCTATCAGCAATACTTTCAAGGCTTAATATGATGATGCAGGTAACCACATCTATCACACATGGTAGCACTCACTGTCAACAAGTTGAGTACATGCTTCTCTTTGTTCATAGGCTACTAAGTAGTTTTGAGGTCCTTTCTTTGAAAGGTTTCTCCTCTCCACTCCCTTCTTCACACAGGAGTATGTTAACTCATACTAATAGCACTACCTATTGAACAAATCACCCGCATGAGAGAAACAGAGTCAGATTGCCCGGTTCAACACCTATTTGTAAGATATTAACATCCTCTCTCTTACAAAACAGAGCAATAAAGATCTAGTACCTTGAGCAGGCCTGTACAACATTCCACCCCTCAAGTATGTTGCCCAGCCTGCTCACGCTGTAGGCTACCTCCTACAGACACACTAGTGAGTTCCTAACTGTCTACTGCTCCACAGTAACCGCATGTATATGCCTTGCTCCACAGTACACACAAGATTGTTTGAGGTATCCTACCTCTCAGAAAAAAAAGAATAAGCTGTGTTTCACTGATCGTAGCATGCTAACGTACAAAAACATGAACACACAAATGTTCTTCACAGAATAACTGACACATATCAACTTATCCCTATGCAGTACATGACCTTGTGAAAGCAGGGGGCCTCCCCTTGCTGGCTGTTCAAAGAACTGAAAACATCCAGCAACTTTCAGCACTTGCTCCTGTAAGTGAAGAACTAGGGCAGACGGGAAAACTCAGAGGCAGAAGCTCAGCTGTAGCATACAATAAGCAAGCAAGGTCTGGACAGGCTGGAACAGAAGAGTACTACATTTAGGACCTACCTGAAACAGCAGTGACCTAACCTGCTTGCCACAGAACAGCACAGTTATCCACACAGGCTCTGCTGCCCTGAAGTGGTGCTGCTTTAACACTTCCACTAGCCTCAGAGAACAGAGGTACCACAGAGTCACTCTAAACCATCGTTACCGTAAAAAGCCTGCTTATTGATTCAAGTTGCAAGGTTCAAGTTAGTGAGCCAGTCAAACAGTATTACGAGCTTGTAACGTGCTTTTGGGTCTGGAGTTCCAGGAATCTCTCCAGTACTATTCTTCATTTTACAGCACCATCAGAACGAACAGCTTGACCCACAATACATTCTTCTCAGTTCTCTGCCTGAAGGACTGCTCAAGAAGGGTCTAG